GTGATTCACAATTTTTAAAGGTTATACTCCATTTATAGTTATTATAAAATACTGGCTATATTCCCCATGTTGTACAATACATCCTTGTAGCTTATTTTATACCCGATAGTTTGTACCTCTTAATCCTCCACCTCCATCTTGCCTTTCCCTCTTCCCACTGGTAACCACTAGTTCCTTCTCTACATCTGTGAGTCTGTTTCTTTTCTGTTATATTCACTAGTTTGTTGTATTTGTTTTTAGATTCCCCATGTAAGTGATATCTTACAGTATTTGTTTTTCTCTGTCTGACTTATTTCACTTAGCATAATGGCCTCCAAGTCCATCCATGCTGTACACCAGAAACTAATACAACATTTAAAATCAACTATACTTCAATTAAAAAGCAACTAACCAACCAACGCATTTAAAATATGGGCAGAAGAACTGAACAGACATTTTTCCAAAAGAGGAAATGCAGATGGCCAACAGGAACATGAAAAGCTTGCTCAACATCATCAGTAGTACCAGACTACTTTTAAAAATTCTTCTGCCTTGACACTTTATCATTTTAAAGCAACTTCTGCTCAAAACCTTTCAATGAAGTTGAAGTGGAGAAAGTTGAGTGGAGAAAACAGTTCCTCCAGATACTAATTCTAGCCTACTTTTTATATCCCATCTTTCTTAACTCAACTCATACCTTGTGCTGCAGAAACCCCCAGCTCTTACATTCCTGCCTTCATATTTGCTATTCCCTCTGGAATACTCTCCAACATTCTGTAAACAAACACCCCATAAAAATGTGAGGCATTAATACCTTCACCTGCTGAATCCTACTCATCTGTTTTTGCTAAGAAATCTGGTTTTGTGAGTTACAAAAACCCCAACTCAGACTACTCAGACTCTAAAGATGTATTTGTCGATGGAGAAGTCCAGTGGTGGTCAAGCTTCAGGTATGATTTTATCAGGTCTCTGGCTCATTTTTTCTGCAATATTTTCTCAGTCCTGACCTCCTCCAGGTTTTGTTCTCTAGCTGGCTTCCCTCTTGGTGGCTGTGATGGTTAATTTTATGTGTCAACTTGAGGGGCAAAGGTATGCTCAGATAGCTGGTTACACATTTCTGGGTGTGTCTGTGAGGGTGTTTCTGGAAGAGATTAGCATTTGAATGTGTAGACTAAGTAAAGAAGGGCAATGTGAGGCATCATTCAATCTGTTAAAGCCTGAATTGAACAAAATGGTGGAAGAAAGGTGAATTTGCTCCTTTGCTTGAGCTGAGACATCCATCTTCTCTTGTCCAGGACACTGGATATCAGTGCTTCTGGTTCTTGGGCTTGTGGACTTGGACCAAATTACATACCGGCTTTCCTGGACCTCTACCTTGCAGATGGCAGATCATGGGACTTCTTGAGCCCAAATAACTATGTGAACCATTTCCTGTAATAAATCTCTTCATATATATATATATATATCTAAATATTTCCTATCGGTTCTATTTCTCTTGTGAACTCTGACTAATACAGTTGCTAAGAAAAAATTCTGCCACAATTCTAGCCACCATACCCTGTACTACACTGCCCAGAAGTCAAAAGGATGTCTATTTCTCATTCTTCACCTTTATTGGGCCAATAACAGTAGGTTCTTAATAATTAGGAGGGTAGGATAGTATATGGATTTAGCATGCAGGCTCTAAAGTTGGACTCTACCACTTATTAACTGAATGACCTTGGAAAGTTACCCTCTGTGCCAGAGTTTCTGTACAATAGGGATTATAATAGTATCTACCTCATAAGGCTGTTGTGGGAATTAAATAAGCCTGAACAGTGCTTAGCAGATTGCCTGGCAACTGGTAAATGCTCCAATGTTAGCAAGTGTTGCCAGCATATTTCCTCAGAAACATCTCCCTTTATACTGTAATCTTCCGGGATTCTTCTGGACAATGCAGTGTATTCCTAACATTTCTCTGCTGAATTCAAAGCCATTTATTCAACAAATATTAAATTAGGACCTACTGTTTTAGGTACTGAGAAACGAGCAAAACAGGCAAAATCCTATCTTTGTGGAGATCACACTGTAGTGGAAGGTAGGAATGAGAGAGACAATAAACTTATGTTTCAGGTGGTATGTGCTACGGAGACAAATTCAACAGGAAAGGGTGTGAGCAAATGCAGAGGAATGGAGTGTTGCTATTTTAAATTTGGGCCAAGGAAGGCCTCTCTGAGGAAGTGGCATTTGAGCAGAGACCTGAAGGAGTAAAGGCATGCCACTATCTGGGAGGAGAGCATTTGAGGCAGACACAAGAGCAAGTGAAAAGGCCCTAAGATTACCAGTATGCTTGGGATGTCAGAAGAACAGGAAGGAGGCCAGTGTGGCTGGAGTAGAGTGAGAAGAGGTGAGAGCAGTACAATAGGGATAAGGTCAGAAGATTAAAAGGAGACAGGACCTTATAGGCTATAAAAAAAAATTCTCAGTGCCAGCAGGGAAGAGGATGTCACCAGCACAGGGAAGGTGTATAATCAAGGCCACAAACGGGAAAGGGTGAGTGCCTCATTTTGCCTTGTTGAGGGGCTGATGGGAGGTCAGGGAAGGCATCTCAGGGGAGGTGGTTCCTGGGCTGAGTCTTGAAGGATGAATAGAAAGCATCTAGGCAGAAGGGAAGACACAATCCAAGTAGAGAAAGTGCTACAGCAGAGGGTGCTGAAAGACTGTGGTGTATTCAAGCCAACATGGTAAGGCTGGTACGCAGAGAGGGAGGTAAGGAGCCAGGGAGTGGCCAGAAACAGCAGAGGAGTTTGGCAGGGACTAGATTAATTAATTGGTTGATGGATTCATTCATTCACTCAAGTGTTTATTGAACACTAGGCCTATGCCCTAGGTCTGGTAACATAGTGATGTATACAACAGTCAAAGATTCCTGGTCTCATGGAACTTACCTTGTAGTGGGGAAGACGGGCAAAAACACATAAATAGATTAATAAATGACAAGACTAAGAAAGGCCATGAAGGAAATGAACAAGAGACCAAACTAGTGAACACCTTTAAGCCGGGTGTTCAGGGAAGGCCTCGCTGAGGAGGTTATATTTAAGTAGAGACCTCAGACATACAAGAAACCAAAAAAAAAAAAAAAAAAAAAAAAAAAAAAGAAGAAGAAGAAGAAGAAGAAACCAGAGTTAGAAGAGGTGGGGAAAGACGTAAGAACGTTCCTGGCCTTGCTTTCAAGTTGTCACCATCCCTCTAATTTGATTTCTCTTCCTTTTGATGTGAGAGCCAGAGGTCGACAAACAGAAGTATAGCTACAATTGCTGGTCTAGCCGATCCAGGCAGGATTCATTTCAAACTCTGCCCCGTTTTCGAGAATCCTCTTAGGCATTCTGGGGGGAAGTGATGTGAAAATACAACCACAAAAATCACAAGTCGGACGATGCATAGAGAATTTGTCTTCCCAGCCTTCAGGGAAGTCTATAGGTGAGGACTAAAGGTATGTGGTCCTCGGGTGCTCTGGGAAGACCCCCTCCGGCTGTTCCGCGGAGGCTGGAACACTGATTTAAGTGATAGTTTTCAACAGGAGAAATATTCAGGAGGGAGTACAAACATCCAGATCCAGATCAAACTATAAAACATGTCCTGCACCCCAAAGGGTAAATTTACTTGAATTTAACCTTTTTTCAGATGGAAATGGCACCTCCTCCCCAGACTCGCCCTCACGGCGGTGTCTCCGCCCACTCCCAACGGGCAGCGTGGAACTTCGTCCACTACGAGCAATAGTTTCCTTGAAAGTGAAAGGAAGAACCTGGTACTCCTGCCTTCTTCGTCTCTTCCGCACCCCTCGGGCACCGCCCACCGCCGCCTAGTTTGGGCCCTATCTTCAGACCCTGCCCACCTCCAGGCCTACCCCACCTCCCCACCGTCCTTTGGGTCAACCCTCCTTCCGGCTCCTCCGCAGAGGCTACCTTTGGGCCCCCTCTTCCCGCTAGGCTTCCGGGCCCGCCTCTTTCTGTCCCGCTACAGTCTTTCCACCCTTCTAGACTTCTCTTCAGCCCCGCCTCCAGTACCTTCTCCCCAGCCGCCCCGCCAAGGGCCCCTCCTTCCCCAGCCTCGCCTGAGCCTTCCTCCACCCTTGACTCCTCCTCTGGGCAGGCTGCCGTTTAGCCCCGCCCACAACCCCTCCTTTCAAGCACCTCCCTGTTTCCTGGCTCTGCGAGGCCTCCACTGTCTTCCATACGCATCTTGCGCGCCTCTCCGGCACCGTCAACCTCTCAGCCCCGCCCCGCCTTCAGCTCGGCGCTGGTGTAAGCGAGTCTCTTTTCCCGCCCTAGCCCCGCCTCCCCAGACTCCCACTTCAGTCCCTCCTTCCTGTCAGGCCCCGCCCCGGCCCCTCCTTCTTCGTCTCCCCGCCGAAGCTCTGGAGCTTTCCAAACCTAGGCTGAAGAGGTGGGGAGAGCTCGTGCGCCTGGGGAGCTGGCTGTGTCAGGGCGGGATTGTGACTCCTCGCGCTAGTGTCGCCGTGTCCTTCTCTGGATACCTAGGCGGGGGCAGGGGGTGTCCAGGACTAGGGCCAGAGCGGCGGGCGGGGCCTAGGTGAGGGAAGCCGCTCCGGGCGCCCCCAGCCCCCTGACCCAGTGGTGCCGGCCAAGGGAAGGACTCGCGGCTGCGGGGCTCGCGCTGCTGTCAGTGCGGCTGGGCGCGCGA